CCGCGGACGTTAGCGAATCGCGCGATTTGCAAGGTCTGACCTTCGGCTTATTGCATTCACATCTTACACTCCATCCTATTCTATCGATCGATTTGTCTCTACTCTCCGAAATCGCGCGCTTTAACCCGATTCTTCATTGCGTCGCCTGATACGTAGCCGGCCAAAGGCCAACTTCTTTCCATGCCTCGCCTTGGCTCCGCCCGAATTACCTTCGATTGTCCATAGAGTGTAGTTTTTGTACGTTTGTTTCTCTTCGGAAACCGAATCTTCATGCGTGAAACTTTGTGTGCTGTTTCCAGTGATCACAACTGACACATTCATGTCAAGAAAGAATGCAAGAATTTTCCGCGAAGGATTCCTTTAACAAGCGTATGGATGAGCACCGAAGTGCGCTACAAAACCCAGCTTCTTATGCTAACAGTGGCATCTCCGAGAATCGCACGAAAACACGCGTCTGGAGAATCCCCACGTTGACTTCTGAGATATTTCACCGCTTCAAAGGAAACCCGGTGGAAAGGAACCTATTTGAAGCCTAGGGAATATGAAAATTATCGCAAAAAATAAGGACAAACTATATGAAGCTCTACTACTTTGAGATTACCTATGTGCCTGATGCCACGGAATTCTTAATATCACATGCAGTGACCGTCACAGTACGTCCGCTACTCTGAGTGGAGGGTGAGTGGTATGTTATTCAATTCCACTCCAAGGACGCGGCTCCCGTAAGGGCAGCCTTATGAGGCAGACACATGTGGGTGTCTATAGGGGGTTTGGGAAACCAGCAGATTAATTCAATGTATTTCAGACCTGATTAATGTGCTACCTACCAAAATATGCGGAAGATTCCGAAGGAATTTTTTCCGAATTGTTTCTTGGGGATTTTAGAACTTTTTCAGATTTTTTTTGGAATACTTTTACTTTTTGTGAACTTTCTTTTGTGCAACTCCATTTCCTTCAGAGAAGGAATTTCTGCCCAACTCATCTAACCTGTAGAATGGAAAAGTGATATTGAGGCTAATTTCAAGAATACCTTTTGAGAATGTCCTCCCACCGCTCCAGGAGGAAATTGAACATGAATTCCTTTGCCCACGGGATTTTCGGACACTGCGAGGAAAACGTCAGGCAGATCTTGTAGGCGAACAAACGACGAATTACGGTCCAAGGCCAGCAGAAGAAGTCTGAAATTCTACATAACATTGCCTCAAATTGCAAATATCATTCTAATATACAAACCAGAGTTTGTTTGTCTGTCCGCTCCCCTAAAATTCGCACCCAAATGTTTGTAATTTTGCTTCGAAAATCACTTAGGGAAGGCAGGTCGAGTATGCAGTAGGGTGAGTATGAGCCGCTTTATAAGGGGAAATATGTCGGGGATTCAAAAATGAACAACTTTGCTGAAATTTGTGTTTCCACTCCCTCACTCCGCGAGAGATGGTTTCCCTCGCGACAAGTGGGTGCTTTGAACAGAAATCGTCGGACCAGCACGAATTCTTACGTATAATGCTTACCCCACCGCCTCCATTCGTCTTTCCGCTTTATTTTTCAGCTTTTGATGACTTTCCACCAGAAAATCGCTCACAAATAAAACCGTCTTGAGTGGCCACCTGTTACTGACAGAGCAGCAGCGCAGCCCTCTGAGCCCTACATAAAGCCCTACAAAGCGCCAGCTCTTAATCAAATGCAGCGAGCTAAATCTGTAAGAAATTAAGCACGATAGTTGCGAAAGGCGATAAAAAGCCCATTCTCCAAAAATCTAACGTGGATTTTGCATCAATAAACTCAAGCGTCAGAAATTAGGGTAATGCCTTACTTTGGGTCTTGCATCTATTTCTCGAAATTTTTCTAAACAGACAAGGCGAAACGTTATTAAGGTAGAAAGCAAGTAGGAAAACAGTAAAGGTGAAGTCTCGGTGGTGGCTTGACATCTATTCAAATGTACAACCATTTTTTACGAAAGCTTCGATAATGGAAAAAATGAACTAAACACTTTACCCTTTCAAGGCTGTAATGTCCTTGTGGCATCCTAAGCCTCGGAGTAGGTAGTCCTTTTCTAACTGGACAGTTTCTGCATAATACAGCTCTTTAACCTGAAAAAGAAGGTCTTTTTAAAGTAATTGTTACGTTAGTACGGTCTTCAGTTTTTCAAAAGCATCACTTCAGATTGTTGCATCACGAATTGTCGATAGGAAGTTCTGTATATAGGATTACCATTCGCTTTGTCAAATTTACATTGCTAGCAAGTCAGGGGCAGGGTCAACCGTCCGTTGGACAAAGTCCAACGAGGGGGTGGGGGGGTCGTATTTGGGGGGGGGTGGAAAAGAGGGGGGTCGTATTTTCGCGAGGTAGCGTTAATGTTACAGTAAGGGAAGGGATGTTTTTCATGGAATGGAGAGTTTCACATTTGATATATACCCCTTCCCCCGTTCGACGGCAATTTTGGAGGAAAAGTGGGGTTGGGCTGTGTCGACTGGTCTCAGAATCAAATACTATAGAAACAGCCATGATGGCGAGGGTGGTGGTCAGGGTAGGAAGAAGGGTGGTTGTATTGCGGGAGCCTCCTGAGTCTCATGGTGGTGGAGGGGGGTCGTGAAGGGTTGACCCTGAGGGGGGTCATATCGAGGCCCTCTAAGGGGAGGTCATCAAATTTTCGAAATTTGTCCAACGTGACGGCGGTTGACCCTAGTCAGGGGTGTCAAGCTCATCGTAGACCAGACCGTAGGGCCCAAGAACAGGCTGCTGGCGAAGCAGGATCCGTTCGTTGTTGTTGCGCCAACATTTCAGTGCGATTTGTGCTTTTAATGATCTATGCCTGTGAAGAAATGCTCCAGGTTACCTTGTTGAAAGCATCGTCTCCGCCTTCTTTCACACCATAGCAGTAGACCATCGCTCGAAGGGGAGCGGCGACGCTGAATAAAGCAAGCAGTGATTCTTCAAATATGCACTGCTATCAGGTCAGAGAATCAGTTTTCTAAATGGCCATTCTTCCAGATCTTAAATGTCATCAAGCCCCTCATACTCAGTCCTTGTCTTGGGAACAGGATCTCTCTTTGATTACCGGGAGCAGCTTTAACACGTTGAGGACATCGCGCGTTTTGGGTTTTTGCACCGCGTGGGACAAGAGCGATTTTGCAAGCGACGCCGCCGCACACCAAATCCATGGATTTTAAGTTGTGAATTAGCAATAGCTTAGCTGCGACTGAGATGTCTTCTGGCATTTTCACCGATACTGGACTTTACATCTTGAAACACACCATGAAAGAATGTAACGTACGCCGAATAAGTGGTAAGAGAGTGCAGAAAAGGTTGATCCGTTTAAAATTAGGCGTATGTTCAACGATTCGGCACACCCTGCTTGTCCCTGTTCCATGTAAGTTTCGCCTTTTGTAGTCTAATCAATGCCCTCTCAAGGATGCAAAGCTCCCCATATTACAGTAATGGACGTATCATGAAAATGGTGACAGCCAATGGTTTTCGTATTGCGCCTTGCTACCAGTTCAGCCTGCTGCTTATCGGCAATTCCTACATTCAGAGCCCTTACTTTTAGGTCATGAATTTTTGCTCGCTGTTTTCGTCTGCACACATCTCTATATTTCAACTTCTACACTACTTCTTACTCGATACCTCATCGTGCCGTTTCCGCAATTCATCGGCATGAACAGTAAGAGTGACTCACCTCACGCAGTTGCTTGCTTTTTGGCCGCTCTCACATTTCTGAATTACTTCTCTGTCGAAAAGATCTTTAAACTTCTCAATGCAGTCCTTCGATCCAAAATAGCAGTACGCGTCAATAACTGCTTTTTGGAGGTTGCTGAAAATAATGATATTTGCTATTGAGCGAGCTTGCTCTTGGCGAGTTGGAGCGGAAAAACAGAAGTTCTTGAAGGTGGCCGGCCCCCATGTGCATTTGACGTCCCCTCCTTCATTACCTCTCGCGATTTTTTCCCAATCTCTGACTGAAAGTAGTAGAAAGTAGAACGGTTAAGGAAAGACCATTTCTTTTGAATTTTGAAGGGATAGTGGTGACGGGAGAGGTCCTGTTTGCTGGGTTTCTTCCGACGATTTCGCCAAAAACTTGACGAAGGAAGCGCAAAATATCCAAAATTGTAATATTTGCCGTTTATAGCCATCGACGGCCGTAAGAGAAAGTGCGCAATGTTGGCGTATGGGGACAAATCTCACAATCAAATACTGTAGAAACGGTCGTTATGGTGACGTTATGGTTGCGAGTGAAGAGGGATCTTATTGCCTGGGCGACGGCCATGGTGTGGGGTCGTATCGATGCCATATCCAGCAGTGGTAGGGAGTTCGTCATATTTTCAAAAATGGAACATTGACTTTGCCTCCTATCCAGGGTTACCTTTTATCTGCTTTTTCATGGCCTCTAGTCCTTCTTGAAGAAGATTCACGAAAAAAGTATAAAATGCCACTCAGAAGCACAATCCACGATGAGTTGGGGATCATCTTTCCTCTTAGTGAGGATGTAGTCTTTGTATGCGCGGATTTTCCGTCTGCTGGCTCCAAAGTGGGCGCTGTGGAATTTCCGAGGATGCTTCGACCGTGCCGCATCTTTCCTCCTTCGCAGGGATTTTTGCGCCATCTGACACCCTCGACCGTTGTTCACGCTGTTCCCCACT